CCGTAAAAGCCCGTTGATTTGGTCCGTGCGTGTAGTATTATCGATTTCTTCCTGTTCGTCCATGTTCGCTATGCAATCAAATCCTATAATTATGGAACCTCTTTGAGGAAAACACTATTCTCTTTAAATAAATAAACAGGGAATTGCGTGAGTACACACAAATTGCGTGAGTACTGAAAATGCTAAAAAAAATCCAGAAAGGCGACCCTGGTTGGCGGGGAAGTTCCCCTAGCCACATAACTGATGGGATCTGCACGCCATATTTCTTATTAAGCAACTGGGGCACAATTTGTGTTTTTCTTACCGATTAGTCCTTGAGTTGTGTTTTTTATTTGGACTAGGGGAACTTCCATCAGTTATCTTAAAGGGGGTTAATTTTGTGCAAGCCAGAAAATGATGTCAACAAGTAGTAAAAATGTTTATTTCCAAATGTAACGTAAACATTGTTTGGCACAAAGTAATACTACTACATTGAAGACGCAAATAAAGCTTGGTCACACCGACAAACCTGATAAACGTACAATGGTAATAGTCATGAAAAGAAAGAAAGGCAGAAAGGAGTAGCATAGCCCATAGGATCCTGGTCCATGGGGCGTCATTATTCTAAGCATGATTTTAAATAGCCCGCTATAGCTCCGCGCTAAGAGTCTTTTGTTCAAACACTTGAGCAAACATTTTAAATAGCTCGCTATAGCTCCGCTATAGTACGCTATAGTTTGGAAGAGGTCCGCCGCTAAGAGGCTTAGCGCGCTATTTAAAACTTTGATTCTAAAGAGTCTTGACTCTTGACTAAGAAACCAACATGCATGCATGCATGTTACAGAACTTCGAAGTGGACCGTGATGGTGTGAGCTCCAAACCTCATCACCACGCTCGCCTTGTCGCTGGTGTGGACACTGGTGAGAGCAACCATGAGGAGGAGGAGGAGGAACACAGCCATGGCGAATCGAATCGATCCATCTCTCCCCTTGAATGAATGGTGGCAATGGATCGACAAACAAGGAAGGTAAGTATATATGGTGTGGTAGCAGTGGCAACACCGATCGCATTGTACAACTGATAGTTAGTTGGTGCAGTGAAAGCGCGTGGCCTGTGCAAGTAGTGTGACTTATCTGATCTGATGCAGGAGGCATGGAGAGAGAAGAAGTGCAGGATGGCTGGTAACAGGGATGGCATGTGAGTGAGTACTATGTACTATGGTGGAGTCGGTTGATTGATTCCATTCTCTGCAGCAGTCGTATGGAGAGAGAAGACAGGGTGGTTCAGGTGCAACTTTCATTTTTGCTTCACAAGGATGTGACTGAGCTAGTACTACCTACGTGATAAAGAGTGACCGGTTGACTGGTGGCTTTCCTCTCATTTGCTTTCCAAATGGTAGCATGAATTAGCACAATGCGCTACATATAGTGTTACACAGAGGCAGGCCGGGGGTTAACCCCTTTTCGAAAAGAAGAAAACTAGAGGAACCGCAGTTTGCAGTGTGTTGCCTGTTACAGTCGCCGTTCGTGCCCACATGATTCTATTATTGCTTAACTTTATGCATCTAAACATGCATTTTGGCTGTGAAGTTAGATTTATGGTGGGCAACCACAAATAAACTATTGTGGAAGTTGCACGCTATCTTCTTCGGGTGTGTTCTCTTTTAAATCCTTGTACACAGACTGGATTAACATTGGATCTGTTATCCAGTCCCTACATGTCTGGAAAAGCAAAGTTTCTTTAAAGATTAAGATTTTCATGGTGTGATTCTCACCAAGGAAAATTTGGCTAAGCATAGATGGCAAGCTAGTAAAAAATGTTGTTTTTGTAACCAAGAGGAAATAATTCATCATCTTTTTCTAGCTTGCCCGCTTGTCAAGCTTTTGTGGTGTACTATTCATGTGTCTTTTAGTGTTCCTTCGCCGACTAGCATATCAAATATGTTTTGTAACTCGTTTGGTAGGGTGGAGCACAATGCTGCGGCGTGAATTCGGCCTGAGTTTCTGAACTACTTTGAGATATTTGGAACTATCGAAATGATTTTGTGTTTAACAAAGCAAAGATTCATTTTTTCCAGCTTATCTACAAAGCGTTTGGATGGATCAGTGTGTTGTCATTACTTCACCATGAGGACGTGAGGGAACTTATGGCATCTTGGTGCAACCGATGTCAGACGGTAGCATGGAACATGTACAACTAATTTTGGCGATGATTCCATACTAGGATTTGTGTTTACGCATTTTATCCTATTTTTGTTGGTTATGGTTTCTGGTCATGTAATTTTCCCTTTTACTTTTGTTGGGGATTGTTACTCTGTACTTGTTCATAAGTGGTTGTGTGCATCAAATGATGCAAAGGCCGGGGGTATTCCTCCTTTTCCAAAAAAATGTGGCCTTGTGTCGGACTCATGTGTTTATTGTTTTATGTTTTCTGGATTCTTGCTTAGGCAAGATGTATTTCCCCTTGGGTTCTTAAGGTTTTTGATATGTTTTTTGTATAAATTGGATCAATCTACTTTTGAAATGAAATCATATTGAGATGGGATTTCTCCCCTTCCCTGATTGTTGTTTCAAAACCAAAACAAAAGGCAAAGACTGCTGGTAAGGCATATATATCTGAGGTGGTTTTTGGTCATGACTTGCCCCGAAAAGGTACCTATCTAAATTGGGCTGAACCACATAAAGGGTATCAATTTTGTCCTCATAGAGGTGCCAACCTGGCTGGGCTAGCCAATTTAGGCTCGCCTCAGGCGATATCCTATAGTATGCAAGTTGTTTTTCTGTAGTATTTACCTTTAGTAGTGACCTTACTAGAAAGTTATGTGCCTTGGTAGTAAGAAATGAATATTTCCCTAATAGGGATCTCCTGAACTGTAAACTGAAAAAGGTAGCTTCTTCAGTTGCCAGAGTTTATGGTCAGGAGTTCAAACATTTAAAAGAGGGCATATATGGAGTGTGGGGGATTTATTTTGAATGACCCATGGATCCCTAGAAGCTCCATGCGGAGCATTGTTACAAGAAGAGTTTGTGCTAACCAAAGTTTCAAAGATGATTGATCATAATTGAATAGTTTGGGATAAGGATCTTCTTAGAAATATTGTTTAGCCAATTGGTGCTAACTGTATACTCAAAATTCCTTTGGTTGTGGGAATGATGGAGGCCTTTGTTTCTTGGCACTTCAATAGGAACTATATTTTTTCGGTCAAATCATCATATCATGTTGGGTGGGATCATCAACATGGAATGAAATATTGGCGTACCAATCAATCCGGGAGCTCACCAAATAATAAGTTGTAGGAAACAGTTTTGTCTTTAAAACTGTTGGAGAGTTCTGTTGGGTGTAATTCGTTGCTTGGGTATATTGCAAAAAATCCCATGCAAAATAGTTCTCAACTGGCGGCCACTATGCATGCAGGATTGTGAGAGTGTTTGTCACGCTATTATCAAATGTTGTTGCATACTATCTGGATGAATCTTGGGATGGCTAAAATAATTGAAGGTGCTTGTGCTGTCAATGATGAAGGACCGTCGATCTTGGAGAGAATTCTTTTGGGCAAGTCTACTACAACACCTCTCTTGCCGGAGATATTTTGCATTCTAGTTTCTATAACCATTTGGTATATTTGGTGGGAATGCTCGCTGGCCACTCACAGTGAAACGATCCAATGTCCGGCTAGAACTACTCACGCAACTGCGGCTTTGGTGACGAATTACACAAGAGGTCAAAAGAAGCAATCTCCGGGGATTGATCAACATGGATGGCGAAAGACCAAGGAGTACTACATCAAACTTAACGTCGATGCATCCTTACATGATGACTCTTGTATTGGAGGAACAAGCATGGCTATAAGAGATAATCATGGTCATTTAGTCGCAGCAGGAAGGAGTGGCATTCCGTTTGTTAATGTTGCTGCGCCAGCTGAGGCCCGTGCTCACATTAATGGATTAATTCTTGCAGGACAAATTGGCTGCAATAGGATCATAGCATCATGCAAAAAGGTGGTAACTCCCTTGGATCGGCTGTGGCGATTTACCAAGAGTGCTCTCTTTTATGTTGCAATTTTGATCATTTTATCATTAGTGTCTGTCTTAGAGAGGCCAAAAGAGCAGCTCAGTTCTGTTGAAATTTGGCAATGGCAACTAATTCTGCTTGTATTTTAGTTAAATTCCCTCTGATGTAGTAAACCAATCAGACGTGCATGGTTGCTACTCATGGAAAGGACAGGGACAACAAATAGAGTAAGAAAATAACCACCTCGCTGACTAAGAAATGCAAACACAATGACGAACGAAGTCGAAGGAAAATAATGGTGGAGCTCCGACAACTGCGACAAGCCGCAGCGCACGGACGGGAGCGCACCATGACTAACAACACCACAGAGATCTAGGGCGCGCTAAGGCCGAAAGAGAAATTAAGGCAGAGGTGGCGAATTGGCGATGCATGTCACAGAAAGCGGAAGTCGAGCTTGAGGGCGTTGGGACCTTCTTGGCCGAGGTCGCGGTTGAGCTGCACCCTGGCCTGGGCGAACGCCTCTTCCTTGGTGCGGTCGTCGGCGCCGCTCTCCAGCACCATGTTGACGGCCCTGAAGATGGGCTTCCACCGCTGAGCCTCGAGGTTCACCACCCCCATCGCCCGCTTGAGCGTCTGTTGGTCGGTGGTCTCTGGGCTGTAGCGGGAGAGGACCGTAATGGCCTGCGCCATGGCTTCCTGCCGCAGCTGCAGGTCCTCGTCCCCAGCGGCGACTATGCTGTTGCTGGCGGGGAGTACGAAGTCGACCTTGATGGTGCGACCATCATGTCTGAAGAACGAGCTGGCCTTCTCCTTGTACATCACGCTAGTCTCCTCCTTGAGCGGCTCAGCCTCGACGGCAGCTTCCGGGCACGAAGAAGAAGACGACGCCATGCAGAACTCCTGCTGCGGCAGCGGCTGGTCGTCGACCGCGACAGCGACAGCACTGTTGCAGCCAGCGGCGACGCAGGAAAGGACGAGGAAGAGGAGGCGGAAGGCGGCCATGGCGAATCAAAAGGGTTGGTACGTACATCTCTTCTCCCGAGCAACGGATAAAGTATATATGGTGGGTAACAGACAAGCACACCCATCGCATTGCACAGCTGAAAGCAGCGTGATGAGTGCCAGAAGAACTCATGTGACTGATCTGATCAATTGGGTAGCTTTCTGATCAATAGCATTCTGGCTGCCAGAATGCCAGAATGCAACATGTGCTAAGTTCAAGTTGTTCACTCTTCCAACAATTTCCCACTTTTGTTTCACAAGGATAAAGTGACCCGGCCAATTGACTGGTCATTCTCTTATTTGCTTAGTAATGGTAGTAACTAGCATGCCCGCGCGGCGTGCCGCCGCGCCTGTTGAAACATAATATGAAAGGTCTTTATGTGGTGATGGAAACGTTTATGTGTTAATTTTCCATCTAATGGCTCAGTTGTTGCTTGTTTTTTACACTATGATGTACTCCTGTATGAACATTAAGTTCTTATATATGGATGCTGGAAAAGTTTATTTGTTAATTGTACAACTAATGGCTTAGTTGTTGCTTGTTTTCTACATTATAACGTATGCATGAACATTAAGTTGTTATATGTGGACACTGAAAAAGTTTATTTAATAAAACAGTTGCTACATTTCATACAAGGGGGAATATAATTAGAGCTTGCATGCTAAATTTGTGTCGTTATGGTAAATCATTTCATCGTTCTACGACCACATGCTAGATTGGTGTCGATGATGAAATGGCAGAGCGCCTATGCAAATTCTTGGATGCGATTCTGTGCACTTTGACACCAGGGTATGTCACTATCGAGTCAATGGTGTGTGGTTGCTGTGGATACATGCGTAATGGTATGGTATCTGAGAAATTGTTATAGATTATTGTTCGAGTTTTGATTTGTCTTGTGAATTCATTTTGCTGAAAAGTCGCATGTTGACAGGCCATGTTGAGTTGCCATTGTAAGGTTCATGCAAAATCTTGAACACTAAATAAGTTTCTTTTTGCAACATTGAATGCTTGATGAAGAAGCCACAGCCCCTGCCGGTCCAGAGACGCCGCCACCCCTGGGTGGTCTGATGCGCTACAGTCTGCAGTGTAATGTTGTTGGGTGCACCGTGCACACTACAGTGCTACAACATAATGTAATTATGTTTAGCACGATTAGCGCCATATCGAGCAAATTTGCTAAATATAGTGTGCCCCTTTCAAATACGCTACAGCGACACTATAACGGTGAAATAGCGCGCTTTTTGTTTCGTTGATTATGACATGGGTCTCTGTATTTTAAAGCAATATGGGGATATGCATTCACCATTGATTTATATTTTAGTATAGTATTGCGAAGAGAAAACCTAATCAATGCTATAAAATTAGACATTTCCCCCCTTAGCCCAGCATGAATAACAAAAAAAATACAATGATCATATTCACCATAGAGAATGATCATTTCATTCATGTAAGACAAAATAAGAAGAAACCACTGATCTTGTAAGTAGTGCAGAATCGGAAGAAACTGGAAAGGTTGCAGCCCGTGATATGTCTTCCATGAAGAGCATCTCATTGTAGATGAATAAGAAGAGCAACAATGGTAGATAAGGCATTCCTTTGTGATATAGTGCACTGTTCTGAGGAAGTCAACCGGCTGATATGAAGTTAGAGTCATCAATGGTAGATAAGTGACACATATTTTCAAAAATAGGTTATGCAAAAAGGGATGTTGTATATATCACACACCTTCCATTGGGAACAGATTCAAGTGGAAGTTACCGATGAAAGAGAAAATACCCCTTCATGACAGCGTCTTTGCTCCACACCTCTGCAATGCTCATGCAGGATACCGTTTTGAAAATGTGCATACTATCGAAGACGCATATTACGAACTGTCCTAAACCTCAATGGAAACAAAGACAATGAGTAGGAGGAGTATAGTGCTTCAGTGAGTAGCCCCAGGGCATTCCACAGCTCGACCCGGCCCTGCAGTGAAAGCAACATATGTTCGACTGGCTCCATCGCGGGGAAAATATCGCAGAAGCATAACTGAAACCGACAGTGTCGAACATATGTGCCATTAGGACGACATATTCAGTGCGCACCAGTCCGTGGGAGGGCCGGAGCCTGCAGTTGCCGCAATAGGCAGCGGACACCCTAACGCTGCCGCCGCTTTCTATGGCCAGGGCGAAGTCAGCAAGGCTTCGGGCGACGGCGACGGCGGAGCCGCTAGAGGAGTAGCCAGAGATACGGCCTGGGGCACAGGGGTTTTGGCGAGGCCGCGAGAGTGCCGTAGTGCGCTTTCTTGTTGTTCATGTTGTAGACCATCTCGTTCATCACCGTATTGGCCGGGTCATGCCCATCACCGCCGCGGCGATCGCGGCCAGCACTCTGCGCCATCTCCTGTGTATGCAAGTCGACCTCGTCCACGGCTGACTTGCAGCTGGGCTAGCGCGAGCTCAAGGCGGCGGCCTCCCATCTGCGCTGGAAGGCGGCGCCGGGCTGCAGCCAGAGAGACGTGAGAGGGCGCAAGGTAGCCGGGCCGTAGCGACCTCACATGCTGACGGCGGGAGGGCTGCATAGGGCGGCGGGGCAAGCCGCAAGCGTCGTCGTCGGGGAACGACTGCGAGTTGTTTGGGAGTGAGGACGCGTTGCCGGACGCATCACGCGTCTGACTGCCATGACGACATCGAGGTCTTGTGATGCCCAAGGCGGCCGTCTCCCGATCGCGCGCCTTTCCTACGCCGTCTGTCCTGCCTGTCATGTTCACGTCTGTGATGATCGAGACCCAGAAGCTCCACCGCCCTCCATGCCGAATCCATTATGATCATTGCACACAATATCGAACACATGCAAGTGCGCCTGATTTCTCACCTCTTATTTGGAGCTGCCGAGGACCATGGGAGGCGGCCCAGGCGATCGTCTCGTTCCCGCCATAGCCGAGCATGATATGGCAGGTTCGGAGCATCTAGTGCCCGACCTGAGGAACCGGTCATATGGTCAGTGGTTATGCAATCCCACATACGCAAAGCGGAGGCGGAGAAGATGCGTCTGTCAGAAGGGCGATGGAGTGGCCAGCGCCGGGAGGGAAAACGGGGGCCCGACGGTCGAGGCTTCGTAGAGGGACAGACCAACAGCGAAGTCATGGAGGGGACGACCGAAGGCATCTATCGGTGGGATTTGAGAGATGTGCGGCCAAAGAGGAAAACACCTTTTATAGGGCCATACAACGAAGGTGATTGAGTCGTGCACGTTTCTAACTGGACAATCTAGAGATATCTACTATCGCCTACATCCATCAATCGACACAAAAGAAGAAGAAAGAAGGAACACAATTGCCTACATTGAGTGGCCGGCCATCGAGAGAAGCCTGTAAACGATAGATACATGCACGTGGTCGTGAAAAAATCGCCACTGCATGCATGCAACTGCAAAAAAAATAAACACCGCCTATCCACCGCTGCATGCATGCATCTGCAAAAAAGGCAGCGAAGATCAATCACGTCACGCATCTATGCCCCCGCCATGCAGGCCCACCTCCACCGCCCCGGTTGACTTGGTACAAAATCCTGAAGAAAATCTCTAGGTGCACCCCCATGTGTACCTCATCAGAACCATCAGTAAATAACGTGTCGCATCCCTATTGGTTGGTTTTTCACTGATTGAAAAAACTCAAAAAAACAGGGTAAAAGAAACCTGGTCAGATTTAGTATATGTATTATAATTCAGTACCATTACTAAAGCACGCCCATCGCATTACACAACTGAAAGCGGAAGACGTGCAAAACAAAGCATGTGACTGATCTAATCAATTGGGCGGCTTTTTGACCGATTTGGCGCCCATCTTCAAACCTCTTTGGGAGAGAAGCCGTGCAGAACGAGAGTAGAATAGTACGTACTAAGTACAAGTTTGTTTACGTCCAACAACTTCCAGCTTTTGCTTCACGAGGATGTGATCAGAGGACTACCGAGATGATAAACTGACCCGGCCGGTTGACTGGTTCCTCTCTCATTTGCTTCCCTGATGGTCATAACAAATACATAAATGTGATGGATCCAGTCTTCTTTCGTGTGTATTTGTGTCTTTTTACACTAGTAGAAAAAGGGCCTTTAGTCCCGGTTCTGGACTAAAGGCCCTCCACGTGGCCACTGGACTAAAGGGTCGGTACTAAAGGCCCTCCACGTGACCGCTGCCTGGAGGTCCACCTTTAGTCCTGGTTGGTAACACCAACCGGTATTAAAGGAAATTTTATGATTTTTATGAATTTTTTTTTATTTTCAAATTTCTGAATTATTTTAACCTCTAATCTCTAATCACCCCTCATCACTGCTCAATTTAACCTTTAATCTCTAATCACCCCTCATCATTCCAAATCATCTAACTTCCTGAACGGTCACCCATCCTCTCACTACTCCAGCCTGAGCACGCTTAACTTCCGGGTTCTATTCTTCCTCGTTTCCAAGTCTGCACTTGTTGTTTTCCTGACAATAGTTAGATGTCAATCCTATTAACCCTCAGGAATTTAGCTTGAGCATGTAGTCACACATTTCATTGTTTGATTTTGAAACTATTGTTCTAAAAAACAATAATTATTTAGTAACACTAATATTTCTTGAATAAGTAGTTTGACCATAGTTTGACCACAGTTTGACCATAGTTTGACCAGATTTGACCAAAATTAAAAAAAACTGAAATAATTATTTAGTAACACTAATATTTCTTGAATAAGTAGTTTGACCATTGTTTGACCACAGTTTGACCACAGTTTGACCATATTTGACCAAAATTCAAAAAAACTGAAATAATTATTTAGTAACACTAATATTCTTGAATAATTATTTAGTAACACTAATACTTCCTAAATAAGTAGTTTGACCATAGTTTGACCAGATTTAACAAAAATTCAAAAAAAAACTGAAATTTGAGCATAACTTTTTTTCCTTTTAGAATTTGAGGATTTTCGTTCTGAACATTTTGATATATTATACGTTTTTTTCCGACATCGTATGCAAAAGTTAT